TGGTATTTTTCCACCCTTTGATTTTTAATAAATTTTTGTCTTTGTTTATAGGTGTGTCTCCTGCAGACAGCATATTGTTGTCTATTTTTTTTAATCCATTCTGTCACTCTCTTCTTTATGGGTGAATTTAAGCCATTTCTGTTCAATGTGATTATTGATACGTGTGAGTTTACTGTCGTCATTTGGTAGTATTTTTTGTGGTGCTGATGTTTTCTTTGTTCCTCTTACTCTTCTGTGAATTCCTTGCATAATTTCTTTAAGTTTCATTTTTGTAGATTTTGTTTACTGAGAATTTATGTTTTACTTCATTTTGATGAGATTTGTTAACTTTGTGGTTACCTTGAAATTTACCCTTATCTTGCTAACTTTAGACCAGTCTTTTATTACTTGATAATGCCTTGACATCCTCTCCATTCGAAAGTTCTATAGCTACACCATTTATTCCCTCTTCTATTGTTTTGATATTGTCATTTACAGGTTGACGTCTCTGGTTCCCTATTGTAAATTTTTTAGTTTTGTTTTATTCTTGAGAGTTCATTGTCTAGGTTGGTTATCTGGCTGATGCTGTCTTATGTGCTGGATTCAGGTTGTTGTCTGATGTTGCTGGTTCTCTAACTGAAGAACTCCCTTTAATAATTCTTGTAAGTTTGGTTTGGTTTCTACATAGTACCTTAATTTCTGTATATCTGGAAATGTCCTAATTTTGCCATCATATTTGAGTGTGAGTTTTGCAGAATATATTATTCTTGGTTGGCAGCTTTTTTTTTTTCTTTCAAGATTTTATATATGTCATCCCATTGCCTTCTTGCCTGCACAGTTTCTGCCAAGTAATCAGAGCTTAGTCTTATTGTTTCCCCTTTGTATGTGACTTTTCATTTTTCTCAAGCTACTCTCAAGATTGTCTTCTGTTTTAGAGAATGTGATTATCACGTCTTGGTGACTTTCTTTTGGGGTCTATCCTACATGGGGTTCATTGAGCTTCTTGGATAGCTGGCTTTTTGTTTTTCGTATTAGGGAAGTTTTCTGTCAGTAAATCTTCAGTGAGCCTCTCTGTGTTTTCCATTTTCTCCCCATTCTGGAACACCGATCACATTAAATTTTTACTTTTGATTGTATCCTACATCTTTCTCAGGGTGTCTTCATTTTTCTTCATTTCTCTGATTTTTCCTCCAAGTGGTATCCAAGGATTTGTCTTCAATTTCACTGATCCTGTCTTCCATTGTTTCAGATTTGCTGCTAAAACCTTCTACTGCCTGTCCATTTCTGAAACCCTGTTGTTTCACTTTTGGACTTCTAATTGTTTTTGTATGATCTCTAGTTATTTATTTTGACATTTTGTTCCTGTATTATATTCCTGACTTCTTCCATTATTTTGTCTGTCTTTTCCATGATTTTGTCTAATTTTTCCTTATTTTCCTTCATCTGTTGGAGAACCCTGAATATTAGAGTTCTGAATTCTCTATCAGGTAGTTTCAGTTCCTTTTCTTCTAGAAGGTTATCTGGTGTTTATTCTGGTTGCTTTCTGGGGCCGTCCTCTCCTGTTTTTTTGATGTTTTGATATTGTCTGCTGTCTCCAGGACATTTAGGAATTATTTTCTTCATTATTGATTGTAGATTTGATTGTTTCACCCTGCTTTTTTATTTGGTTATGTCTGGGCAGGTGGGCTGGATGTGTTTTGTTGCTTGCTTGCCTGTGGGCATGATACTGCTCACCACCCAAGTCAGAAGGATCAGTGCAGCAGGGTGGGTCCAGCGGGCATGGAGGGGCAGGGATGGGTAGTTTGTGGCATGAACTGGGGGCAACAGGACAGGGCTGGGGGGCAGCGCAGGGTGGGGCCCAGGGGACCACATCAGTACCACCCGGAGACATGGCACTCAGCACACAGTGCAGATAGGCAGGGGGGAAAGAGCAGATGTGATGTGCAGAGCTAAGTGGATGGGTGAAGGGAGAGAAAAAAAGGCAAAAAAAAAAAAAAAGCAAAAACGAAGTAGAAAAAGAAAAAAGTAAATAAAATGGTGCAGTAGGATTCAGTGGGTGGGAGTAAGGCAGACCCAGCAAGGCCACGCGCTGGTGGTTCTCTAGCTGAGCAGTGCGGCTGGCCTGTCAAGCAGCAGCGTGGGTGGCGCACGGGACTAGGTGGGTGAGAGAAAGGAAAGAGGAGAAAGACAGAGAAAAACAACAAAAGAATATGGTGGCTGTTAGGGGCGAAAGTGGGGTGGTGGCAAGGTGATGTCTCTCTCATCTCGTGGCATGGCATGGCCCATCAAGAAGGGGCAGCATAGGGCCTAGGTGGGAGGGAGAAGGAAAAGAGAAGGGGAAAGATAAATATAAAATATGGCACAGAGGGAGCTGGCCTGTGAAGGCGGCACAGACCCCGGGAGGCTGTCTGCCAGAGGGTCTCCCGCCAAGCGGTACAGCACAGCCCACTAAGAAGCTGGTAGCAGCACACGAGGCTGAGCTGATAGGAGAAAGGAAGGGAGAGAGAGAAGAAACAATAACAACAACAGGGAAAAAAAGACCAAAAAAAAAACAATAAATGAATAAAATAGCCCTGAGGGAGCCGGCCAGGCCTCAAGCAGTGACTCTCCAACCGAGCTGTGCAGCACGGCCTCTCCAGAAGGGGTGGAGTAGTGCACAAGGCTGGGTGGGTGGGAGGAAGGAAAGGAGAAAGAAGAAACAGAAAAAGAACAAAGCAAACAAACCAAAAAAATCACAGCCCATCAAAAAGTGGAGGGGATAGCACACAGGGCTAGGTGGGCAAGAGCAAGGAAAGGAAGGAAGGGAGAGAGAAGCAACAAAAAAAAGCCAAAAAACAAGTAAACAAAAAAAAAAGAACACAGCCAAAAAACCAAAAAATCACAGTCCATCAAAAAGGGGAGGGGATGACACATGGGGCTAGCTGGATGGGAAAAATGGAGGGAGAGCGAGCGAAGCAACAAAAAAAGCCAAAATATCAATATTAAAAAACAAACAAAAAAAATGGCACTGAAGGGGCCAACTGGTGGGGCAGACCTCGGCGGCAGGGAGCTACTGTCTCTCTTGCCAAGCAACCATGGCCCACTGGTAGGCAGCAGAGGCCAAGAAGAAGAAGGGTGGTGGGTAAGAAAGTGTATACCCCTGGTTACCAGATGCTCTGTCTCCTGCTGGGAGCTCCATGAAGTTGCCTTCCCATACTCCCTGTCCGAAGTTCTTTGGCAGCTGTAGCCCAAGATGGCAAATCCTACCACGTTAGCTGGTATGAGACCTCCACTTGGTAGCTCTCCTTGTTCTCTGTTCTCTGTCAGTTTATTACTCCATTCGGTGCTTGATCAAGTTCTTTATTCCTTCATTTGGTACTTACGGTTCCAGGATTGACATTTCTATTTTACTTAGTTTTTCGGGTGTTTGCTGCAGAGCGATGGACAGCATGGTGCTTCTGTCTACAATGCCATGCTGCCTCTGCCTTAAAAGCTGCTGCTTTTATGTAAAATATAACACATACAGAAATGTGCACAAAACAAAAACGTGATCAATGATTTATCAAACTAAACACCATAAAACTACCACTTGATCAAATAAGACATCAGCACTCCAGAGCACCCCCTCACTTCATGTCCCCACCCAATCATTATCTTCTCCATCCCTCCCCAAAGTAACCACTATCCTAACTTTTATACAAATTACTTCCTTGCTTCTCTTTATAATTTTAGCACCTAAACTCACATCTGTAAAAGTCTAAAGCTGAGTTTTACTTATTAACTTCATGTAATGATAATACAATATATATTAGATGCGCTGGTTGTCCATTTATATATCTTCTTTTAAGTATTTGTTCAAATCTTTTTACCTGGGTTGTCTGTCTTTCAAATGCTCAGTAAAATTGATAAACCTCAAGCTAGACTGATCAAGGTAAAAAGAAAGAAGACACAAATTACCAATATCACCAATGAAAGAAGGGACGTTACAGATCCTACAGACATTAAAATAAGGAAATATTATAAACAACTTTATGATAGTTAATTTTACAACCTAGTTTACACAAAATGACTAAACCAGCTAGATGTGCAGGAATATTCCAAAATAAACACTTAAGGAAATTTCTTACCTTTCAAAAATCTTCAAAACTATCCTTAGACCCACGTTAGCCCCTAAGTCATTTGGAAGAGAAGACTACATATCAATTTAATTCAAAAAACACCTGTAAGTGCCTACAATATGCGCTGCACACTAAGAATTCAAATTGAAGAATACGTTGTCTTTTCTTGTAGACATACAATCTTCATTTGGCTTAGTGACCTCTGGAAAAAATAGACATGAATCAAGAGAACATGAGATTTATCAAACATCACAATGCTATCATTTACTAGAGAAAAAACAAACAAAAAATGAGAATTTCAATGTTTGGGGGGATAAAACAGTGAAAAGGAAACAACACTTAGTGTATGAAATAGATCCTCAAGGTAGGGAAAGTAGCACACGAGAATATATTTTTGGATATGAAAAATGCAGTTATACAATCAGCAGCATTCAAAATCAGTTCTGAGTATCTATATAATTACAAAAATTGATTCATGTTTTAACAAAGTGCTTTTAAAACTCATCATATTAGAACAGGCACAATGCTCTGAAGGCATATAAATCCCCATGGGCTTTTGAATGTTCTCACCCCCAACCTCACAATCCGAATCTATAAAAGCAGGAAGAGATCAGAGTTCATTGGTTGGTTTTTGTTATTTTTTTTCTTTCCTTGTTCAAGGTTGCCAAGTCAAGAAAACATACTGAAAAAGGCAAACTAAAGTCTTTTCACAGCAAACGAGACCACAAAATTGAATGTAAACTATGACTTTCCTTCAGATTACACAAAAACAAGGTTCATTTGTACTTTGAATAGGACCTCTTCTTGTTGCACAGAGGTTAAACAGGCAGAGAGCAACACTCAGCCTCAATTTGATCTTTAAGGATGATTCATAAGGATGTTAAGTCCACGTAGTCCATTTTTATCAGGGACCTTTTGTCCATGTTTTTTTTTTTTTTTTTTTTTGGCTGATTATTAAATGTAGTGACCTTACTTTGTTGTGAATACATACATCATTGTTAATTGTTTATTACAATGCTGTAAACTGATCTTTCATTTTAAACATCCAAGTTTTTTCCTGGCCACTGGCTTCGCTCTTCTCTGATTTCAGATCACTCTGTCTATAAAAAATCATTTTCTAAATTTCTAAACCCATTATCACTTTATTAGCTCAGCTAGAAAGTGTGTAATTGTATATTGTCAAGGTACACTAACGGGCTGCTGCCTGTTAGCCTCACTGGCCTAACAAGAACCCGCAGGAGATCTCTGCCAGGGCTTTACGAAGCCTGTGCAACAGAAACCTGGTAAGCCAATGGTAAAGTGTATCAGGGGCTTAAGAGCATCACCCATGCATCTGGGGCAGAAATGGGAATATCCAGCAATGGAATTCAATTTCCTCTCTCCTGCGTGCACTGGGACCAAGTACCACCACAGCACTTTCCTCTTCACTCGACTCAAAACTCTCAAGATCTCAGAATTTCATAAAATTATGAATAATCAGAATTAGAAAGTACTTTAAAGTCATATAATTTGACTCCCCAACTTTTTAAATAGGAATTTCAAAAAGATTTAGTGTTCTAGTTGTTTTGTTTTGTTTTTTAAATATCAAGAACTACACAGACATAAATCTGTAGTTAACTTTAGTTGAAGGTCTATTAGCTTTTTAAAAAAAGGCTATCTGCAAAGAAACTACTGTACATCTGACAATGTACAAAAAAACAGCCCTTGGATTTAAAAAAAAATCTAGCAAAATGGCTTTATATAGCTTAAACACTGATCTTCGTTTATTTGCAGAAAACAAGGTTTTACCATTCATTGTGAGTTTAAAAGTACTTGCAATCCTGAAGCAACTCTAGTCTGAAGTTATCTGAGGAAAGAGAAGATACCAAAGGCCTGCTGTAGATTGTCCCACAGAAAAATCCAGTCACAGGGCTGCAGTGCAATTTCCTCAGTCCCTAAGCCTCCTCATTTATGCTGCGGCACCTATCACTCTCACAGGGCTATTAAAGCAGAGGCCAAACCAGTATCCCCGCCCCACCGCCACTTCCACTCTTTTTTTAAAGGTATGGCCCACTTCTTATTTATTCGAATGGAAGTATCCAGAAGTAAGTTTATTTGATTACATTTCATGATTTTATTTCTTGTTCACTGAGCATACACAATCAGGGTGGAAGGGGAGTGGCACTCAGGCTGATAAATCTACAAAGCTGCCATGTAAGGCTGATGGGTAGATGGCAGCAACCCTGTAAAAATGCTCAACTGGGGATAGTGTTTCATCCTTCCCAGACACAAGGCAGCTTGTCTGTGACAGAATGTGTCTCAAGCCCCAGCCTGGGCAACAGTAGCTAGCGGCACAGTCATACAGAAGAAGGAAACAAAGGGCTCCCCTGAGCACATTCTTCAAGATAGTGAGACTAGGATGTGGGAGTCAGTGAGTTGCTAAACAGATTTGCCCAATATCAAACAAGCAATCTCTAAGAGACTTCTAAGAGAAGGAGGTGAGGCGGTCAGGACTGGAAACCAGTTCTCTTGGTTTGGAGAGCAGTGCTCCTTCCAACATAGCCGTCACAGAGCCAGTAAGCTTAGGTGAGACAGCGTTCAAGCCAGCACTTCCACACAATTGGACGCATTAACCTTGGAAGAGCACCACACTTTCCGATCTGCAAAACAGTCACCTCAATGGTTCAAGTTCACTTCACTCCCAAAACTCAACGATCTCCATTCACCCAGCAGTGAAAGTGATAGGATGAAAGGCAGGTGGCAGGAAAACAGAGTTCACTGCAGGCCGCAGGGTCTAAAACCCAAACTCTCACACACTCAGCTCACCTACAACTTTAACCAGTGCTGTTGCTCGACAACAGCTTTCAGCAGATTTGAAATCGCCTTCTTCTCACAGCCCATCAAACAAAAACAAGTAGGAAAGCACCCAAAGGGTAAGGCAGCAGAAGAAAAATCTAGGAGTTCACATGCAGGATCATCCAAAAGCTGCCTACAGAGTCCTGACTGCAGCTGTCTGAGCAAACTGCCCCAAATCACAAAACTCAATCCCAGACCACAAAACTCATGGCAGGGCAGAAGTCGTTAAGCCTGATCTCCTGCCAAGAACCCCTCCCCATCACCTTCTGCTGGTGAGATCTGGTACAGGCTCCTTGACCTAAGCCTGTTCCTTCTCCATCATAATGGAGACAAGACCATTGGTATAGCAGTCATTCTGAATGTTAAATGGAGTAAATGTATGGCAGTGTCTACAGTGCTGGACACAGCACGTACTAGGTAAGTATTTGTTAAATAAATAAGATATTCATTCTGTCATCTTCAAAGGTCATCAGTTATTTCTGCCAGGCCCATGCTAAGCACTTGACATATCTCACTGATGCCCTCGATGATCCAGTAGGAACTGTTATCCCCATTTTTCTAACAGATGAGCAAACTGAGAAAGCAGAGGTTTAGTAACTTGTTCAACATGACACAACTAGTAAGTGACTGAATCACAACTCAACCCAGGTCTGCTTGACTACAAAGCCTACTTTCACCACCACTATACTATTCATCTTCAAAGGTATCTCAACCTCATGTCCAACAAAGTCAAGTCTAGCCAATAAAAAGGGCACAGAGGCTTTGCCTTTTAGGTGAACTACTGCAGGCTGCTTGGAGCTCACAGAGCCCACCTATCCTCACACCAGCTCTAAAGAGAAGGAGCCATAAGCACTCCTGACCTCCTTCATGGCCCTGCCTCACACCAGAGCCTCCAGGAGATTCCTGGGATGTGAGAGAACCCCACAAAGGCCAGAGGGTAACATGTAACTTTCCTCCCTGCCTGAAGGCAAGTTTGCGACCTCAATCTAGAAAGGACCTGGGAAGACTGGCTCCAGCCTATGGACCCCATTAGGCATGATACCTCCCCAGTTCAGAATAAAAAGCTAGCTAATCTGAGGTCTCAGCCACAGCAGAATAAAGAAAAGACTAGGAATTCAGAAGTTCAGCAATTAGCCACAAACAAGGAAACAACAAGCAGGCCACTGCCCTTGGTTTGAGGGTACCTGGAGCAGAAGCCTAACTGAGCAGCTCAAAGAGGACCAGCTGGACCTGGGTAAAGGGTAGAAAGGCAAGCCCAGGTAGGCTTCATATGTAGGGGACTGGAGATCCTGGGGTGCCAAGAACTTGGCTGATCAAGATAGGGCACTTATAATGGTCAGACAGCAAGGAGCTGAAAGGAAATACAAGGGACCATTGAACATCCTATGGTCCAAGCAGGAAGCTTTCGAGAAGAAAGATGTGGGTTGGGGGTAGTTCAACTTTAAGTTAAGGGACTGGGACCAGAACAGAAGAGGCACAGGCTTGGCTGATGAAACCAGGGAAAATAGTTACAGGAGGTATCATCAGAGACATGTCAGGAAACTGTAGGTCATGAAGGATGCCTGAAGCTGAGGCACCCAGGCTCTGGGCTCAGCTCTGCTACTGACTGGGGCTCTGACTAGATCTAGCAACCTCTTTGGGCCTCAATTTCCTTGTCTCCTGGTGGGACAGTAAGCCCTTTTTTGTCACAAGGCTCTCGTAAGGATAAAATCCAGTCACGGATACAAAAGCACTTTGTAGGTGCTGAGGCATAAAGCTGAGATATCACCACCCTTCAGTCTGGTATCCTGCTCCAGGGTTTCCTGTACAGGCTGAGGTGCAAACGCTGGGACTATTTAAAGGTCACTGGGCAGGCATGCCTACTTCCTTCTAGCACTCCACTGGCCCTGCTCCAGGTGAGAACAGAAAACAAAATCAGTTTAAGAGCAAATAATTATAAATAATGAAGGGGGAAAAAAAAAAAAAAAACACAGAGCAGTGAGATCTTCCACTTCCTACCAGCTCTTGTCCAGCGTTCTCTGCTGCTGCCTTGTTCTCTCCCAATCTAGTTCCAGAAGATCATAGGTAAAGATATGTACCTGTGTGTGGAGAGGGAGGGACCCAACCCAACCCAACCCAAGAGGGTGCACTGAATGTTGCAAAATACACCCCACAGTCAGGCGTGGGGTCAGGAAAGCAAGAGCGGCCAGGTTCAGATTAAGAAACGGCACCTACTACCAGAAAGTATTCATCTTCCACTTCACTCCACAGCAGGCTCTCCACAGGCTTGTATGCAGCTGTTCCCGACACCAGAGTAGAAGCATGTCCACACTGTGTAGGGCAGTGGTGATGGCTTCCAGGCCGAAGGACAAGTCTGCAAAGTCCCTGTTGGCCCCTCTCATGGCTGAAAACTCTGTCCCTTACTGTTGTATTCCTGTGGTCTCCAACGGGGTTGCCTGTTGCCACCTGGGAATCACTGGCTCCCAAAGCTTATCTGCTGCTGCTTAACAAGGCTTTCATTTATGAGGGTTCAGTGAAACGCCACCCAAAGAAGAAACAGATGCATGAGGAAGACTCCACTCCACTATACAGAACCACCTCTCATACTGCACTACAGACATTTAGGTTTAAGAACATATCATTGCTTCTAAAAAGTAACCCTCAAATGTTCAAATCACAAGCAACACATTGCTGCAAGCTAAAAGGCACATCTCTGTAAGACAGGTTTAGAAAATATCTACAAAACTGTCCACCAGCATCCATCCATTGTGCCTTCCAAAGCTTTGCAAAACCGGCTGGGTGTTATGCAAGACATACAGTAAAACACTTCTTCACAGCATCCCTAGAAAAGAAAAACAAAGATGAATGACAGGTTATAACACCAAAGGCTTCAGTAAGTGGTAAAAACCCTCATGGAGAGTTTTCTGGCACCCAGAGTAGCTGCTGAGTGGAAAGAGTCTCCACTGCAGGGCAGACCCACTTGGTATCCAATCTCGGCTCTGACATTTATTAGTAGTATTATCCTGAGCAAGTTAAGCATTCTGCTTTGAGTTTCAAATTCCCCATTTGTAAAAGGGGATGGCACCACCTATTCTACAGACCGAATAGGTGTTTAATAAACGGTAGCTATCATTATAATCAGAGTCCCTGGATGATGCAAACGGTTAATGTGCTTGGCTGTTAACCAGATTAGAGATTCGAGTCCACCCATAGATGCCTCAAAAGAAAGGCCTGGCAATCTACATCTGAAAAATCAACCACTGAAAACCCTATGGGTCACAGTTCTACTCTGACACAGAGGGTTGCCATGAGTCAGAGTCAACTTGACAGCAACTGGTTGGTTCTGGTTATCATTATAATCAGAAGAAAAAAACAGGAAGAATATACAGACTATCAGAAACTAAAAAATTAGTCAGGACTCTTGTCCTTTAATATCAACCATAATCACAGAATGCACTGAAAGCATTAGGTCAAACAGTCACTCATTCTGGGCAAGCAGAGAAACTTTGTTTTTTTTAATTGTATTTCAGGTGAAGGTTTACAGAACAAATAGTTTCTCATGAAACAGTAGTAGACATATTGTTTTATGACATTGGTTAACAACCCCATGACATGTCAACCCTCTCCCTTCT